AGGGAGGAAGCAATTGAAAGTTACTTGACCATCTTGATAGAAGTAGTTTGCCCGTGTCCTAGTTGTTGATGAAAGTAGATGATGGGCACCTTGAATTTGTTAACTCTCTTCTCTATGCAGACAGGCCCATCTTGCATGCTGTGCACTCTTCAGTCACCCCTGAACATCTGTCTAGAGGGAGGTATCAGTTAGGTTCATGCTTCACTTTTCTGTCACCAACAACAGCTCTTTCTTCCTGTCATCTTCCCTCTGCCAGTCTCACAGTCTGCCTCTTCACAATTTGGCAGGCCCAGGCATAGTCTCTCACATATTCACAAGAATCCATCAGGAAGACAGGCAGGTGCTTTCAGTTCCAGAATGTACATCCAGCCCCATGGTCATGTTCAGCTTGCAGGCCTATTACCGCTCTCCTGCTTAGTAAGCTGCATTCACTGACAGGCAGCCAAGCAGGGACCTGCCAGGTGGAGTTTGGACCCGGCAGGGAGTAAGCAGAGTGTTGGATGGGTAGGGCAGGAGGGTGCTGCCAGTCAGTGAACTGAGCAGGCAGAGGTCTCTGGGAGTCAGTGGCCAGCAGGGCAGGGAATGGTCTCAAACATAGGCATATGATCAAAATGTGCAGTGAATGTCTAAATTTATTTAAAAATGTTCAGGGGGCTGGGGGTTTAGCTCAGTGGCACAGCACCTGCCCCGCAAGCAGAAGGTCGTGAGTTCAATTCCTGGTACCGGAAAAAAAAATGTATTCAGTAAAAACAAACTGCCATCAAGCACATATGCATGTGCATGCACACATGCACACATGCACACACACACAGTCAAAAAAAGTTCCCCCTTGCTTGGAACATACCAGTCTCATCACCCCTACTACTCTCTGGAGCAGCTCCAGAGGCCTCCGCCCTTCATGTCTTTGTGTCCTGAAAAGCTGTTACAAAAAATGTGGTGAATGCTGCTGCCAAGGTCATCCAACAGAAAGACAGATTTGTAAGAACATGACACTGTGTCCTAATCCCCCCTATTCACCAGATCTGGAGCTATGCAACTTTCACCCCTACCACAAAGTCAAAATGGCCACAAAAGGTAAAGGTTCAGAATTGATTCAGATATGGAGGCAGCCAAAGCAGTACAACTAAAGATACTCAGGAAAGAGGAGCTCCAGAACTGCTCCAGAAAGTGGCAAGAATGATGGGACAAGTTCCTAGAAGAAATGCGGAGTATTCTGATGGGGACTCATGGCAGTGTGTGTCCTGCTGCAAACTATTTTCCCAAATTTGAACAGTCACCTTATCCTGGCAACACACCTGTACACATGTGCACAAAGAGTGTACTAGAGCTAATGCTCTGTTCATTTCGGTGCAAAGGTGCTGTGGGTGGGGCTAGTGTGATTCTCTTATGGCATGGGAAGAGAGACGTGTACAAGTGAGCAGAAGCCACCAGCCAGGTACTAACTCGAGGGAAACCAGACTGACCAAGGCTCAATGTGCTCGGAGGCTGATGAGGGCCTTTCAGTCATTTCAACTTCATTGTGCTATTCTGTTGTTCTATATCTGTTTGTTTCACTATTTTGTTAATAGTGACAAGCGAGAGGTTCAACCAGTCTAACAACACATACTGTATCCCATAAATGTCAGGTCAAACATATTTTTTTATTCTTGTGCATATCCAAAAGATTTGTGCCTACAACTTTTTCAGGTGTTTGGGGCTTTTTTCTTTTTCTGTTCTTTTTTCTTTCTTTTTGAGACAGGGGCTTACTATTAATTAAGGCCAGCCTTGAACTTACTATGTAGCCCAGGCTGCCCTCAAACCCACAGCGGTCCTCTTGCCTCAGCCTTCCAAGAGCTGGGATTACAGGTGTGTGCCTCCACACCCAGTTATAACTACTGTTAAAATAAAAAATACAGTCAGCTGAAAAAATACATGGAGTCTGGAGCTAGAGAACAAGATCAAAAAGGCAGAGTTAGGTGGGAAGGCCTGGCCATCCCTAGGAGGCCTCAGGAAGTCTTTGCAACCCCAGACACACTGTTGGGACACAGGCTCAAAGTCAGAGTCATTACGTGATAGGGATCGTCAATGGTGAGTTGGTTTTGTGGAGCACAGCTCCCAAGAAGTTCAGTCTTAGCTTTGTAATTCTTATCCTGATTATTTCCTCTGTTCAAATCCCTTGGTTTGCTTTCAACCATATCAATATGTAGTCAAACTTCCTCAAGTCCTCACCAGTAACCTCCTGGGAACGTGACTCATGGAGATGTGATGCTTCTTCATGCAACTCTGCCCTTAAAAGTCAAGGGGAATTTTCCACTTCATAGGTGGACAGAGCTGCACTGTCTATTCTCCAGTTGTTGGAAATGCTTCAATCAGTTATAAGACTTCTGAAAATTGCTTCTACAGTGGGTACCCAGCAAATGTTACCCAGACACACAAACAGCACCAAATCCAGCCCAGGCTTGGCCAACTTTCCATGATGTCACTGTACCCAGCCACCTCCACTCTAAGGTCTTTACGCATAGGCATGTATCCAGACAAAGACAGGACTAGAAATGTTCAGACCAGTGGTATTTAAAGTAGCAAAACACAGAAGTCACTCAGATGTGCATCATCTGGGGAGTGGACATGTGCGGTGTCTCCCTACACAGAATGCGGCCCCACCATACAAGGAGAGAAGCACAGCTTGAATGTCAAAAACATGCTAAATGACAGAGTTGTCACAAAAGATTCCCCTCATATATTACAGAAAGAGCAAAGTGGAGCATGAGAAAGCAGTTAGGTGGTTGCAAGAGATCACAGTGGAGGGCAGTGATGACTGTCAAGGGGCATGAGGAGAGCTTTTGGAGTGAAGAAACATTATGAACGTGATGTAGCAGTCGTTGCAACTCTCCTTCATTTACTAAATTTACCAACCTATGCAAGTAAAATGAGTGAACTCATCTCCATATAAATTATTTCACAATAAAGCTCTTAAAATAAGGTAACTACTAAGATGTAAGACATACCCAGGGAGCTCACTTTTGAAGTGACTTGCACACCCAAAGAACTGAAAACCATACAGAGACATGTTTGTGACAAGACTTGAATGACACTTTCAGGATGCACTGGAAGGATTACCATATGTGCAGTGAGGGTGCACTGAAAGGGAGGTCTCTACTGTCTGCCAAGTGTCTCAGCCCAAGCTCAATGTGCTCTTTTCCTGCCACCTAGAGTTCAGGGTGAGTAATGTGAGCATCTTCATCCTTTAACCCCAATTAGAATACACTATATTTCAGGATTAAATGCATGGACAAAAGGAGGAAAGGTGCCCCAGGAAGGCAAGTTGGCCAAAGATAGCAGTACTAGGAGCAGAAGAGGGTGTCCCACAATTTGGGACAAGAAATACAGCATTTTAACAACACTGGTAAAGTACATGGGGGCAATAAAGAAGCAGTTTGAACACAATTTGGCACATGTGTACAATGAGATAAAAACACATAACAAGTTTTTATTGGAGAAGACAAAACAGGTTGAGGAAACACAAGAAGGTGAAACGAAAATTGGTCACATGGATGACCAAAAAAAGTAGGAGGCAGGGAGTAAGGAGGATGCAAGAGGAATTCTCAAAGACAGGAGAACCTGCCTGGATATAGAGACCATCAGGGAGCCAGCAGAATGGAATTTTTTCAGCAATACATGTGTGGACATTCCAATACCACTCATCAAACAGATCTTACAGAAACTTTTTAGCAGGTCTGCACGGATCATTTATGTGGTCCTAACATTGTCTTCAGAAACCATGAAAATGACAATAAACTTCAGGAGACAGCCCACTAAAGACCTGCCTGGCTCTCCTGAACCACCCGCAACTGGCCCAGGATCCAAGAGCAAGTGGACATGAGCAGTCCTAACTCTCACAGAAATAGAGCCTGCAACGTCTCTGGACAGAAATAGATGAGTGGGTGAGCTGTTTGAAAAGTTAATAACAGATGCCATTTAATATAGGTGGACAATAGGTAGAGACATTTTCAATAGTTGGCAATCTTGGTGCCCAGCTGCTATTGGGGAGCTCTAGGTATGCTCTTTCAACCTCCTGCCACCTCCCAAAGTCTTGGTTACACCTTTCACCTAGTGTGGCCATAGTGAGATAGTACCATCTATAAGCCAGAGGACAAGCCAAATCTGGTAGTATACTGATGCTCACTTCTTAGTCTCCAATCTGTAAACAAATGTCTGCTGTTTAGAAGTTACCCGGATTATGATACTGTTTTACAGCAACCTGAGCATACAAAGAGCCTAGGTTCATGCAACCTGGGTTTCTGTTAGCCTATATAGATATGAGTACTGATGGAATAGTTGAGAGGTGAGAAGACTTCTGACACCCAGGAGTAGATAACATTCTCCAAGACATCACTTTCATTTCAGGCAAGAATATGGACTAGTAAGACAACAGGTAGAGGCATGAAGATATAGTAAGGAAAGGAAAAGGGATCCAGATCCAGTGTGATGGTGAGGAAGGTGGATTCAGAGGGACTTACACATCCATGGCTCCCTGGGTGTCTTAGTTAATTGTTGCTGACACAAAATACCCAACACCCAAAGTTAAAGTTGGAAAGGTTATTTTGGTTCACAGTTTGTAGACATTTCAGGCCATAGTTGGCTGGCTCCAAGACAGGGTGGCACAGCAGAGGGAAATCAGAGACAGAAGCAGTTCATGGCAAGCAAAAGGCAGCAAGCAGCAAGCTCAGTAGCAGCAAGTGACAAGTGACAGCAGCAAGCCCTCTTTCTGTCCCTTATATCCTATCCAGGCTTCACACCTTTAGGGGTGGTATCACTCACACCCAAGGTGAGGCACCCTTAATCCTAGCATTGCATCATGAATCAATACCAGCACCACATACTTGATCTCAGCATCACACACCCTATATCCAGGCACCTCTGGAAAGCCCCACCTATGACCACATGAGGCTTTAGAGAGACATCTAGATGCAAGCAACAACAGTGGGGGATATAATGAGTGCCTAATAAGAGGAGACACAAAGCAGGCTTAGCAATGAACATTATGCATGAGATTCCTCATGAGAGAGGGCTGAATGGAGGCATGAAGAGTGGATTAATGGTTGTATGAGCATGTGAGTGTGTGTTCTCCTAGGCAGACCCTACATGCACTCACACCCAGCCTTCCCTCCCACACACAGGGAGCTACAATTCTGTGTGCTTCTCCTCAGCCCTCTTTAGCTCCTGGATCTTCTGGGGCAGGGTCTCCATCCAGAACTTCAGCCTGGAGGCCTTCAGGGCACGGCCCACAGTAGGCTCAATGTCCAGCTGCAGGTACAGCTCCTCGTTGTCCAATGCAGGCCAGTGGGGCAGGCCCTCACCATTGGGGTTCCTGTGAAGATACCCTCCAAACAGGGGATGGGAGGTCATTCTGAGGCCTTGGAACCCCATCTCAGTACCTTGATTTGCATTAGGTCAACTGCTAAGCTGGCAAGTGTAGAATTAAGGCGAGCTGTTCTTGATAGAGAGTACATGGCCATCCCACTAGTGTCCCCTCCATGTGAAACAGGCCTTCCAGTCCTGTTTTGTCCCTCCCTCTTAGAGTTGGCCTTGACTGAAACACAGCACTATGATTCACCACACAGGTCACTGGGAGAGGGATGAGTAACCTATACTGGAAAGGCTCCTCTCTGTATCCACACAATTCTTGGTCTTGCAAAGGAGTTAATGTGTGATTTAAGGACACACATATGCTAACAAAGTCCCCACAGATAAAAGGGGCACCTGGTGGGTTCACACACCATGTGAAGATTGAGGTAGGGGCATCATCTCACCCATTTTGTGCAAAGTTGGCCCAATACTTCATCATCCTCCTATTTAGTATCTTCTCCTCCTCAGTGAAGGGAGCTGCAGAGCAAAGGAGGACAAAAAATCAAGTCTTTGGCGGATGCTCATCGCACTCACTCTGCTGCACATTCATGTACCAATCTCATCGCTCAGCTATAGCCTGTCCTGGACAGCAGGCCTGGTCCTCTCCTTTCCCACATACCCTAGAGCCAGGCCTTCCCTTTGCCCAACCCTCTTCATCTCAGTCTCTAGTTGAATTGACCCAAGGCTCAGTGCTGGCCCAGAAGATCCCTTCTTCCTTTGACTCCTGTAAGTCATTGAAAAACTAAATATGCTGTGAGACAGTCCCTCCTGCCCTTTTCACCCATGCTGGACACCATGGTCAGGATGAGGACAGTTGGAGCGGGGAGCACTGAGTGGAGTGCAAGGGCTTGGATTCTCATTTCTGCACAGTCTCTTGAGGTGTACGACAGTGGACACTGACTCTATCCTCTCGCTGAGCCTGAACTTCCTCATCTGGACTGTGGAAGAAATCACAACTCAGGGACCCAGCCAGAGCCCATTCCTACTGCTGAATCGAGGAGACTCACCTTTCTGGCCCCACAGGAAGGATCCAAAGACAAA